TTGGCCTATTTCCTCTATCAATTGGTTGTCTAAATCAATAAATCTTTTAATTACAGCCGCTAAGTTGCCTGTTTTTATTTTCGCTTCTTTATGTATGCTTGACTTTGATTTGACAATCAAGTGCAGTTCATTTATCAGTTTTTCAAGGATCTTCAATGACATATTTCGTTGTAAAATGATGTTTTCTGAAATTATTTTTGACAGCTCGGCCCAGTTCAGCCATTGGTTCTACTTTTGGGTTTTAGGCTACATCTGATAAACTTGGCCATAGCGCTGTGTTCAAATTATTTGATGCACTGATTTTATCAACAGCTGCATTGTTTGACACTATGTCCCCTATGATGGGGAACATTTTAACAAAAATTTTACCTGCACCCAGAGGCGAGGTTCACTCAGCTCACTAACTTATAAATAACTTATTAAAATGATAGAACTATTATAATTTTTTACGACAAAATATCTAATTTCTGAGGTGAGAAAACTTAGTTTTTTGAAAAATGGATGTGTGTGTGTATGTATGTGCGGATACCAATTTTTGTCGACGATTTCGGGAAACAATTTGAATAATTCAAAAAATATTCGATTTCTATTGATAAGAAGACGTGCTGGTTAGTTTTTGGTAAAAGCAGGTTCAGCCGTTTCGAAAATACGGGGCAAAAAGAGCCAAAAATGGTAAATTAGTTTTTGAGTGAACGGGATCCAATTCCATTAATTCGAAAAACATTTTACTTGTGTTGGCAAAATGAAGAATTGATTATTTTTGGGAAGGCAGATTTTATTAATAAGTACAAATTTTGTTTACATTTCCATGGGTTCCGTACCAATGTTTATCGGTAATACTGCGACACGGGGCTTACGCGCATTGATATTTCGTCTTTCGATAATAATATAATGCAAAAATATAATTTCATTGTATAATAGTCTTGCGTCAAATTTGGTAAACATATAAGTTATTTTTTTTTATAAACGCGATATTAGTTTTGCGGATTAATATTACAATTAGAATAATGTATTTTACTCAATTTCAACATAAGACCTTGTGGATTTGTTGGCGAAGACAACATCGAATTCTATCTACGTATTCTATTTATATTTTAAAATAATAATTTTATTATGCAGAATTTATGGAATTAAATACAAGTATGTTAAATAATTATTGGTAACGCGTACATATTTAGGTAAATGAATTTCATTATTGCAAAGAGGATTTAATATAATAAAGTGATTAAAATAACGGTTTTCATTGTTCATACAGAACGATATAAAATTAGCGGTTACTGAAAGGTGAAGAAAAACATAAGTTAAAAATTTTGGATATGTAATGTAGATATTATAATTTATTATACGCATAAAGTTATACATTTATTTATATATTGAAGAGATATTAATTATTGGTTCTCTTCTTGATATGTTAAAACAAACACTTTTTAAGATATATAGATTTTATTTCAATTTGGTACCTTTTTATAGATTTTTATAGATTTTATTTCATTTTGGTACATTATTGAGTGTTGATATTTTTAATCTGTCCTTGTTGGCGGTTCAAACAAAACTAACTTCCGCTCAATAATAATCAGTTTTTACCTGATTCGACCCTTATTGTCGAATAAGGCTCGATTTATAAAAGTTTTATATAAATGGTACCAACATACGAGATTAAATTACAAACATATTTTAATGAAAATGTGTTAAAATAAAATATTATAATAAATACATAATAATTGTCACCACCTCCCTTGCAAGAATAAAGCCGTCCTCGGCGTATAATACAGAGAAAAAATATTTTTACCACTTTAGAATATAAAATACTTATTAAAATATTAAAATACTATAAACATTTACAATAATATAAGGGTTACCATATCTAAGATTTAAAATTTTTATTAAATAATTTATGAAATTTAAACTTAACACATTGATATTTACACTTCATTATGAACTAACTCCACTAACATTACTATCCTATGATTTTTATTATTGATTACTTCATTTATTTTATTTTTTGACTGTTTGATAAAAATTGCGAAAATCAGGGGTCTTTTAATCATTTTCTCTAATTTTTTTTCAGTTTATTGTTATGGACTTGTACCGGCTTATTATGAACTAAAATTGTACTATTAATATTATCGGAATTTAAAATTTTAAAAGGCCCTTTCCATAATTTTTTGTTTGTTTTTAATTTCGATATTTATTACAACTGTTTAATAGTTAACATCTTGTAATATTGATAAATAATAACATAAATTTAAATAAATAAGAGTGCAAAGGATAGAACTTATATGAAAATATCCGTAATATGATGATTTAATATAAAATAGAAGCAAATAATAATAAAAATAATATTAAAATTAATATAAATAAAAAATAATATAAATAAAATTTCTGAATAATAAAATAATACTAGAAAATTAATAAAATATAACAAAATAACAATAATAGAAATAGTAAGATAATAATAATAATAATAATAATAATAGTGTTTACAAATGTCTATTTCCTTTCCATAATGGTAAAAGTAATCCATATCTCTGTGGATATGGAGTTTTGTCTCTTAGAAGAACAAAATCATCAACTTCGAAAGTTTGTGGATTTAAATTTTGATCATAATGTGATTTAGTTTGTTCCTTACTATGTATTAAATTTTCACGAGCAAGTTTGTTAGCATGTAGCATTCATGGATTTCAATTCATGAACATAAGTGTCGTAATTATATTGATAATTGTTAGATTTTATTAAAGACAAAGGTAACTCTATTTTTCTACCAAAAACAATTCGAAAGGCGTGTAGTTGGTTGCGTCATGAATAGTGGTGTTATGAAAAAAACGGCATACTTAATGCATCTATCCCAATCGGTTTGAGTTTTATTAATATATGTTCTTAAGTTTTTGTACAAAATCCCTATGTATCCTTTCGCATGAGCCATTCGACTCTGGTCTATATGGAGAAGTTGTTAACCTTTTTATTTTTAATAATTTGCAAACATCTTTAAATAAGTTGCTGGTGAACGTAGTTCCCTGATCGGACAATATTTCTTTCCGAAGACCGAACTTTAAAACAATTTCTGATACAACTGCGTCAGCAACCGTTGCGCTCTCTTGGTTAGAAATGGGTATTGCGCCCGCAAATTTAGTGAGATCGCAAATGTATGTTAAGAGGTGTATTTATTTTCCGACTCAGAAATTGGATACGGACCACAAATGTCAATGCAAATTTTTTCAAAAGGTTCTCTAGCGGTAGTTGTAATTACTAAGGTTTGTTTACTTAATCTAGATCAGTGGTTCCTAACCTTTTCAATTTCACTACACCTCTGAACAAGTATGGGATTTGAGTTTACCCCTAGCTAATTTAAAAGTTATTAAAATCGCACAAATTTGAACGAAAATATGTTTATTATCCAACTTCATTTATAGAACAAATGTTTGGTCTTTAATTGTTGCAAAATATTCTTCTTCTTTTTGTGTTCTCTGATTTTCAAGAAACAATCCAATTTCTTCTCGGAATTCGTAAACCCTACTTACAACTTTGCCTCCTGATAACCAACGTACGCCTGTACGCACGCCTTAGGGGGTGCCAAAACGAGTTTTGGAAATTAAATTTATGATATATTATAATACTTTTTATTATTTATATAAAATCTAGAAGACTTAATAAATTATAATAAACAATCTAACCTAACTAGGGATACGGAGACACAAAATGCGTATTTATTTTGCAATGTGATATCAATAGAAACAATTAACAGATTAATAACTCAGCAAATTAGTAACTAACAACTCTGTTTAATGCTTAATCTGCTTATTCAATTTTTTCTTTGTTTGAAGTTACCGTGAAATTGAAAAGGAAATTATCTAGTGTTCAATCCCATAAGCGCAAACCTGCGAATGATTAAATTAATTATTGGGCATTATTGACGAAAATTTGCAAGCTGATTTAGTTTAAACAAATTATAATCGGGAATATAAAAAATGGGGAGTCAGTGCTTAGAAAATAACATGTTTATTTCGAAAAATTGAATTGTAACTTTTGTTTTTGTTGCAAATGTTTCGCATCTGATGAACTTTATGAAGGTTATGAAAATGTAACAAACATGAAAAATGAAAGCAAAATTTACTTTAGAACAAAAATCTTAAGGTCTTTTTTATACCTAGTGCTGTCTATACTCTAAATTTAATTATAATTATCATTAGACATATGCATATCAAATTAACAGATATTTTATAAAGACTTTAACCCTTTCCACTCGCGAATTCCGAGATTTATATGAATTTTTCATACAAATCTAGGAAAATTCATGGAGCGGGGGCTTCCAGTGGAAAGGGTTTATAATAAGTACAAATTTTGTTTACATTTCTACGCGTAAAAATGTAAAACCGTAAATGGGGCGCTTACATATTTCAAATTAAAACATATTTCAAATTTAAACAAATTAATTTTTTTCAATTTTTTCAATTTTTTCAAAGCTTTTAAAACATTTAAATAACTTCTCCTTCGGGAAGTTAATAATTAGTAATAATAAAGTACATAATTATAAATTACAATTAAACACCATTTGTCAGTAGGCACTATTTTTTTAATATAATGAGAAAAGTCGACTGCCCGAGGCCAATTAATTTATGTAATTAAATTCATTACATAAGCTAAATTATCCTCGGTATTAAACTAGGTTCGTTCCATCTTCAGGACATCTGTCAAGAAACATGATCTTGATAAGATTTAAGCAAACAATATGTTTAAGAAAAGAAGGAGAAGATGGATTTTTTAATTAATAAAATTTTATTAATTTGCTTAAATCTTATCAAGATCTTGTTTCTTGACAGATGTCCTGGAGATGGAACGTACCTAGTTCCGAAACGTAAATAAATAAAAAAATGGTTTATTAAAAAACTTTCTCGTTTTTATTACTTTTTGAATTCTTTGTTCGAAGCTCTACAATATATATATATATATATATATATATATATATATATATATATATATATATATTGCTCTAATATTTAGAAGTTAGAAATGCAGCGGTCGATTCTATGTGCATATTAGCGCTCCATAATTCTGAGTTTGCTGAAATGTCTTTGGATTTTCTTGTTGATATGTTTAATGATGAAATCGAAGATGTTAGATTGAAAGCCATAAGCAGTTTGTCTAAAATTTCTGAAAATATTGTACTGAGAGAAGATCAATTAGAAACAATTTTAGGAGCACTGGAGGTATTTTGTTCATTAAACATAGTCATATTTAAAGTTTTAAATAATATTATTGTCTGAATTTAAGGACTTTTCAGTCGAGGTACGAGAAGGGCTGCATGATATGTTGGGGTCATGTAATCTTGCAAGTGCAGATTGTTTACAAATGCTCTTAGAAAAATTATTGGACACATTGCAAAAGTATCCACAGGTTAATATTTAATTATTATTTTATTATATTTAATTAGACTCTATCTAAAAATCTTCAACAAAAATTTTCAACCGATTTTACATCCAGGATAAAGTCTCGACTTGGGGCTGTACAATGCGCGTTGGATCGAGACACCCATCATTTGTTTTGATGTTAGCACCTCAATTAATTCAGGTGCATCCTTTTCTCGAACAAGCAGAACCAAATATAGATGATCCTGCATGTATCCTTATAGTTTGTGTGTGTGTTTGTTTAATTGTACCTTCATACAATTCATCTGTTTTTTTATGATGTCAGCTAAGTTTTTGGTCAGTTACATTTTTTAATTCATTGCATATAGTTTTAGTGAAAAACTACATATTTGTAATACTTGTCATATAACAATAGATTGTTGATGTTTAATAATGAACTTTGAAATAGATTAATTTATGAATTGATCTGTAGCAATAATTAAGGAATAATATTTCTATGTATTTGTAGCTTAGTTTAGCATTTCTAATGAGGACATTAGTTTCTGATAACCTTCTGTAATATATTTTACTTAATGCGTAATTAGATGTTGCAGTTTTAATAATGGTTTTGAATGCTGCACAATTAGTAGGCCTTTGTTAGCCCTTTTTCCACAATATATTACTTGGCACTATGACTATTTACGAGATACAATGCCTCATAGAGTTCCACGGTTATTATTCTCCGGAGGCAACGACATTGAACGAAAATTGAAGGCGAATGTTGACTCACACAAGTTTCTTCAATTATTTATTGAACAAATTGATAATGCAATGGAAAACTGCACAAGAGAAAATTTGATATTGCTATTCAAAAGGGCGCAAACAGACCTTGAGAAGTATTGTCACAAATACTAGTTATACTAATTATTTTATTTAATGCATAATATTTTAGATTAGCTGAAATTGATCTCGATATTTCTGGGCCAGCACAATTTATGAATATTTACATAAATGCACAATCTTTATTGATTAAATCATTAGATTGTCGTGAGGTTTATACAACTAATGGGCCTCCGACATTTATTATACTGCTCCTACAAAAATGTCAACAGTAAGTTTTTTTGTTTTAAGTCATATATATATATATATATATATATATATATATATATATTATAGATTTTATATGGTGGAACGAATATTATGTTTAATAAAACAGCACGAAAAACAAGAAACATACTGTGTCAAGCATGCAAGGAATAGTTGGTGTTTTTGTATACCAAAAATTAAATGAAATTTAATAAATATTTAAAATGTGTATATAAGTAACTGTTTTGAAATACACTGAAGATGGACACATGGTCTCGAAACGTCTGAATCATAAAATAAGTTGTGTTAAACAAATCTGAGTGTGTTTTGTTCATATTAAAATATTGATATATTTATATATATATATATTATATATTATATATATATATATATGATAAAATGTTTCTTGGGAATCCATCCAGTAATTAAAAAACAGTTTTATTGAATAATGTTTTTATTTAGAGAACATACGTTTGGGTCTTGATTTGACCCATCTTCAGTGCTAAATTAAATAATTTAGGGTTACAAATTAAAACAATATAATAATACATAATTACAGACAAAAATAAGTAAAACCAATGTATATGAAAGGTATATATGAAAACAACCATAAAATAAACAATTGTAAAGAAACTCACCATACAAATACATTTTGAAAAATAACACAAAAACACACAAAATTGCACGAAAAAATAAATATGTAATAAAAAATGAAAAACGTCGTGTGTTATGAAAATTTTTAAAAAATTGTAAAATTAAAATAATAATATATTTTCAAATTTACTTTCAAATTCAAGATTCAATCATTCTTTTAATATGTCAAAAAAATCCTTCATAAAAAAATTCAATACTGTTTATTCGAAAAAGGCAAACGAATCCAAAATAAATATAAACCCTGATATCATCAATAAATGGGTAAAAAAACATTTCCGATTTAGACATCCCATCCAATGTTTTGAACATTTTAGCACTTGGTCCTAAATTTTCCATTCCACAACAGAAAAAATCGTTTAATTTTGTCAAAACACTTAGCTCTTTAGAATATAGTTTACGTAATTTAAAAGATATCAATGAAAAAAACCGCATTAAATATTTTTTGCAACCAACATAATTCATTTTTCAGATTTGACATTTCTAACATTTATCAACATAAAGAATTACTCAAAGACATCCACTTTGCAAATCCTATCAAATAACACCCAGAAATTGTTGTTACCAGGGCAGATAAGGGTAACATCACGGTTATCATGAACAAAATTGACTATATTTCCAAATCCATGTCCCTCCTAGCTGATGTAAACATTTACGAACCTATAAATTCAGATCCCACTGACCTTATAAATCGGAATACTTTGAAATTCATTGATTCATTTATAGAAAACAAGCAAATCCCCAACCTCTCTCTTTACAATTAAAAACCTACAATCCCATTTCCCAAAACTTTATTGTCTTCCAAAATCCACAAAGATGGTTTTTCTTCGACCACTAGTTGCTGCTGACTTAAATTCCCCTCTTTGCAAATTATCCAAATTCATTAGTTCAATTTTATCAATATCACTCATAATTAGGTATTTGATTTTTTTTATGTTTTTAATGGAAAGATCATATATAAGTTTTATAACAAAGTTTTTTTCTTTTGTTTTTTCTCGCAATAATTAAAAAGTTATACCAAATTAAAATTTGAGTTTGAATTCGGTATCGAAGAGCGCCGACAAATCCCGAACGAAGCCAAGCGCGTGTGATGTCATTCTGTTACGGGTGATCCATAGTAGTATACAGCTTTGAACATGTGCTATGCTTTGAGCTTTGTATAATATCGTTCTGTCATTGTTAAATATTCAAAAATATATAAAAAATGTCAAATGTAAAATGTTATCGCTGTTGTTTTGTACCATTATGTACAAATACCAATGAAAGAGTTTGATTTCTCAAACCTCATGCGGTTGTTAATCATAATATGGTACCTTAATATTTGTTATCATCGCAGCAGCACTAGAGAATTTACAAACACCTATAATTTCAAGTAAATTTAGAAGAATAAGAAGAAGAATATTTAAGAAAATTTTCATGACAAAAGAAATGGCTAAATGTATATTTCATATATTTATTATTTTATTTGTTTATTATACATTTATCGTTTATTGCATTTGTATCATATCATCAAAATATATTGAATAATAACTAATTAAGACTTTAACTTTATTAACTTTCTACAGAGTTGAACAGCTTTGGGTATATATTTTGGACCAGAATACTACATTTTTTAATGAGATCTTGAGTGTTTGCATCATCATATTTCAATACGCTAACATATTTTTTTTGATCGTCTCAAAGTTTTGATCGGCAACACAAAGATCCCTTTCTTTACCTGTCATTAACAATTGCAGTTGCATTTGAGCATTACACTTTAAGCTTATTTTGCCCTTCGGCATTATATTCGGCATTATATTATATCGAAGATGAGCGTGATTTTTGACTCATTAATTATTAATGTAACTAAATAGGCTTTGCTTCGAACTCGATTTTCTGGAGATACACGTGCTTTTAAAATACAAATTCCATTTTTACGACTAAGTTGAGCATAACCCACAGCTTTGTCGCCGTAACTTTCACGCGATGCTCTAAAATTAATTTATTAGGTAATTATATTCAATATAAAATTAATACTTAAATATTGTGATTTATAATATTTTTTAACAGACTTACATGAATGCCTTGGCGTCTCGAACTTGCGCAGAATTAAACCGAAAATCATTTTTTAAAAATTTATCACACATAGTTGAACTAAATTAACTTCAACAAATCGTTTTTAAAGGAAAATTTACCACGTGTTTATCAAGTTCCGTAAAATATAGTCGTAAGCACTGCACTAATAGAGTAACGGCACTGCGCTGTTATGAGGTTGCAATTACAATCTGACGTCACAGACACGGTAGCCAATCGTGGCGCGTTACGGTCACATGACTAATTTTTGAATTTAATCAATTTTTAAACGTATCAATAAATTTAATAATGTAGTTTTAAAGCGCATAAAAATAAATATATTTTTTTTTCAAATTCCCAAATCTCCCCATTTGTCAAAAATTCTTTCGAACTCATTCCCAAACTTAACTCCCTCAATATCTACCATCTGATTTTTCCTTTATAAGTTTAGATGTTGTTTCCTCTTCACTAACATTTCACCTGAACTTATTCTCTCTGCCATAGACCATAAATGGGTTGATTTAGCAAACACACAGATTTCAATTTTCTGGTTCCTGAAATGTATTAATTTCATTATTTCCAATACTTATTTTTCGTTCAACGACTCTTTTTTTTGAACAAAAATTTGGCACCCAAGGGTTCCAGTTTGAGGCCCCACTTGCTGAACTTGTATGCAGTTCCTAGAGAACTTTACTCTTAATACCTTGTCTTATGCACCTCTTTTTACAAAACGTTACGTTGACGACATTTAACTTGCATTCCTACTTATAACATAACCAATTTCCTAAATTCTTTTAATAATTTCGACACACACCTTTGTTACCTTAGAGACTCAACTTAACAACTCCATTAATTTTTAGATATCACCCTTTTATAAATAACGGCTCCATCACTACATGTTGGTATCAAAAATCCACTTGGTCTGGACGTTATTTAAACTACCAATCCTATCACCCCAAATCGACTAAGATTGCATCTATCATCAACTTACTAGATCATGCCATCCTCTTTCTCATCCATCACATTGGGAAAAAAATATTAATTGATATATTCTACCCTTCAAAATAATTCCTATCCACTACAACTTTTACGCTCAGTAATAAATAATAGGTTACCTTTTCTTCGTAATAAATTCCGTACATCTTCCTTATTTACCTCCCAATCAGAACAAAATAGTAGCATTTCACAAACCCTTAACCCTGTTCCTGAAAATTCACTATCTCTCAATTCCTTATCTCATTACCGTACATTGACTGCCTTTTTCACTCATGGAAAAACTTTTTTCATCCGCTGGTCTGTTCGACTGGACTCTCACAGACTATACACTAATTTAAAAACTCCTACCCCTATTTCCCGCACGTCAAACGGTATATGTCATTGATTGTAATGATTGTCAAGTGTTATTTGGCGAAACTTCACAATTTCTCAAAAAAGAATGCACCAACACGAACTTAATAGTTTTAAACAGGAAACAAAATAAAACCATGATCACCGAAATGTCTCCAACTTTAAACATTCTTTTAATTTCACCAATCCAAGAGTTATTCATCGGAAGCCAACACTTTACGCAGAAAGTTCGTGAGAGTATTTTCATACAAAATATTACCTGCTATTAACAAACGTTTTGATTCGGCTTCTCTTTGCAATATTAACCGCGATGCTTCGAATAATTTTTCAATATGCGCAATGCATCCTAACACTTCTTTTATGCA